CAGCAGGACAGGCAGGGCCGGGGGCCTCCCGGGCACGCCCACCTCCGGGCGGCAGCTGAACCGCCTACTGCAGATCCTGGAGGCCGGAGGCCCAGGTCCAGGTGGTGGCAGGGTCACACTCCTGCAAAGGCTCCCGGGGAGGGTCCTTCCTGGCCTCTTCCATGACTGTGGAGACCCCCTTCCAGGAGTTTCCAGGAAATGTGATCACTTAGCTCAGGTCTGACTTGAGCAGGACGGGGAGTGGGTGGAATCCCTTGACCACACAGGCCATGGCCACCCTGCTGAGCCCTGCTGTTGCCCAGCCCCAGGTCCCGTCTGGTCTCCCCTTCCTGTTGTTTGTGTCCTGACATCCATTCCTGTCCACTGCTCGTCCTGGACCCCACTCTCTCTGTGAGGAGTCCCTCCCTCCCATTCCCCCGAGTGAGGTTTTATGTGACACCCACCGGAAGGCCATTATGCAGCCTGGACTTAGCCATAGATGCCTGGAATACTGGTCACAGGCCCTGTTTGAACATGACCTGATTGTAGTGTCACCTCCTGGCCAAGTCCTTGGTTGCAGGCGACGTGTGGTGGTCTCTGACACAGATCAGACCCTCGGTGACTTCTGGCCTCCTTAGGCTTTGGGGAGGGAGGGTGGAGGTCTCCATGAGCTCCTGAGTTGGGGCCAGGGCGAGGGCCTGTGGCCCTGCCTGGAGGAGTCACACTGTCTCCCTGTCCTCAGCACTTGGCCCGCTACGTGGAGCAGTACGTGGGGACTGAGGGCGCGTCCAGCTCCCCCACCGAGGGCTTCCTGCTGAAACCCGTGTTCCTGCAGAGGTGAGTGAGGCTCATACCCAGGGCTGGCTTGTCCTGAGGGGCGGCCCTGCCCTCCCGAGGCTGAGTCTGAAGCCAGCAGAACTGTAGGGGGGCCGGGGGTGGAGGCCCATTTCAGAGGCCCCCACTGACTGTGGGGCTGCATCCCCCAGCCAGGGAGCAGAGGAGCTGGGCCAAGACCCTGAGCGCCAGCCCCGGAGGGAGAAGCCTCGGGAACTGGCAGGGTCCGGCCAGGCGTGGCAGAGGGTGGCTCTGAGATCGCCTTGGCGGAGTTTAGATGTGCTGGTTTCTGGTTGCTTCGATACACACGCCCCGCCCCAGGAGGTCCTCGGGATGCTCAGGAGTTCCCTGGCCTGCAGACCTCCTCCTCTTCCCGGGGCGTCCCTGGCACCTCCTCTTGCTCCCAGGAACCTCAAGAAATTCCGGCGCTGGCAGTGTGAACAGGTGCGGGCGCTGCGCGGTGAGGCCAAGAGCTCCTGGAAGCGGCTCATCGGGGTGGAGAGCGCGTGCGACGTGGACTGCCGCTTCAAGCTCAGCACCCACAAGATGGTGTTCATCGTGAACTCTGAGGACTACATGTACCGCCGCGGGACCCTCTGCCGGGCCAAGCAGGTGCCGACTCCCTCTGTGATCGGGCGCCTGCATCTGATTCCTGCACCTTGGGGACCGTGGGTCCGGCCCTCTGTCCCAGGTCCCTGGCCACCCTAACGCCCCTCCTCTCTGCAGGTGCAGCCCCTGGTGCTGCTCCGCCACCACCAGCACTTCGAGGAGTGGCACAGCCGCTGGCTAGAGGACAATGTGACCGTGGAGGCAGCCAGCCTGGTACAGGACTGGCTCATGGGTGAGGAGGACGAGGACATGGTGCCCTGCAAGACGCTCTGCGAGACGGTGCACGTGCACGGCCTGCCCGTCACCCGCTACCGCGTGCAGTACAGCCGCCACCCTGCCTCGCCCTGAGCAGCCCGAGCAGTGACGCGCCCTCGGCCACAGCCTCCGTCCTTGGGATGTTTTCCTGAACAAGTTGGGGCCTCGTGTCCCCAGCCCTGCTGCTGCGGGACAGCCAGCCCCAGAGCAAGGCCCTGCCTCCCCTGGGCTCCCTGGCTCGTGTGGGCCTGTCCTGTGCCAAACCTGATCCCTCTGCACTTGGGCCCTGGGCGCAGCCCCGCCCCCCAGGGGTGGGCAGACACCCTGGCCAAGGAGCCCCACTGTGCATCAGGTGCCAAATCCCTGCTGGGTGGGCACGTGCCATCACTGACCCTGAAGTCCCAGTGTCTTGGAAAAGTCACAGGTGACAGATATGCAAGGCTTGTGCTTGGGAGAGGCTGGGTGTCCCCAAGACCCTGACACCAAAGTAGCTGGGCCCTGGGTGGACCCGCTTGTAAAGCAGGTCCTTCCCCAGCTCCCCAGAAACGTTGCCTGAGGGTTTGGGTGTCAGTCACGCAGCCAGTGATGGGCACCCTTGGTCATTCTTGAGAAGAGCCCCTCCAGCCCAGCGCTGGGGCTCCCACCGTAACTGTCCAGACCTGGAACCGGCGTCTGTGCCTAGAAGACCCCTCTCTGGATTAGAGATGCCAGACCCCTTGCTGATCCAGCAGCCACTCCCTGTCCCTGAGGGGAGGGGCTCAGGCCAGGTGCCTCTCTAGAGTGGTGTCCCCACCCGGGGAGCCCTGGGGCACCTGGTCCTGCCCTGCAGTGGGGGTCCTGGAAGTACATGTGTGCGCACACGCATCTGTTCCTTAGCGCTCTCCTAGTGGCCCTTACCTCTGCAGCAGCCCAGTCCTGTGGCTTCTTAGGGCTGGGGTCTCTGGACGCCGAGTCCGCCCTAGCTGCCCTGTCCTGCAGCACCACCCCAGCAGCCACGCAGCCCTCTGCCTGTCTCCGGGACAGCCCAGCTGCTCCCAGGGTCATTTTCTCTCTTTGTGAAGAGCTGAGGTGACCTGTCCCTCACTGGCCCCCAGGCTCTTTCTGCCAGATCCCACGGGACAGACTGGGCCAGCGTCTCGGACCTCTTCCCCCAGCCCCCTGCCCAGTCCCAGCATCGGAGCTGGAGCTGGCCCAGAGCAGCCGAGCTCAGCCTCCTGCAGCACAGCTGTGCCAAACTCAAGGATCCAGGAAGCAAACACGTGTTTCTAGAAGTTTCCTGTGGAACTGGAGGCTCCCAACACCTGTGACCCCAGGCCTGGGCACTTCTGAGCCCATGAGCCCACCACGGGGCCCTTGCCTGTCCCACGTGCCTCGCAGGCACTTTGTACGCAGCCTGGTCTCCTAGGAGGGGATCTGATCTCGGGGACTCCTGAGCCAGTCCCGCAGCTGGCTGCCCAGGTCCGCCCAGCCCGCAGCCCTCCCCGCGCCTCACCTGTGGCCAGGGGGAGACTGAGGGCCTGGGTGCTCCGGAGGCCCGAGCCCCTCCCCGCGGCCATCCCACCTCCCGCATGCTTCTGTGGAGCAGCGCTCTCCGTTCCCAAGGAATTTCTGTTCTGGGGCTTGTCCTTCCTTCGCAGCTGTTTTGAATGTAGTTTTCCATTTCTATTTATTTGCACATTAAGGTTAAAAATTAAATATTGATGTAAAATCAAGAGGTTCTGTCAGTCATTTCCTGTGAGAATCCAGACACCTCCCTGCCAAGTGAGCCATTGAGTGTCCCCATGAGCCCACCCAGGGTCTGCAAGTGCCAAGACCCCCCAGGGGGTGGGACCTGGTTCCTGAAACCCAGAGGAGTTAAGGCAGCCCCTCAAGTGGCAGTGCTGGCCTTCACAAGGTCACCCCACCCCAGCTCTGCCTGCCCCAACGTGGGAATATTTTCTAGAACGTTCTGTCCTAATTCCATTTCCGCTTTCAGTAGAAATGAGAATCATCTCCTTCGCCTGAGTGTTGAGTGGTGTCTGCTTTGGGCTTTCTGCGCCCCGCCGACCGTCGCCTCCCCTGGGCCCCCACGTCCTGAGGCCTGCACCAGCACCCACAGAGCCAGCCTCCCTCCTGGCCCCACCCTCCACCCGCCGCCTGCTCCCTGGCCTTCCAGTCTGCGACCCCTTCATACCTGGGCAGCCCCCACAGCTCTGCTTACAGTCCTGGCTGATGCCACCTTCCCCTGAGGGTCCACATCCCCTCCCGCTTGTCCCTGGGCCTCCCCTTCCCCAAGAGAACCCACTCTCAAGAGCTGCCCAACCTCCCTCCCAGGACCCAGGTGTGCCCACACCCGGCGTTGCACAGGCAGAGTCTGCCCTGGGCACGCACACCAGAGGGTCAGGGCTGCTGGGCAGGCTGGTCAACCTGGCTGAAGTGGTCCTGTCCCCAGCCCATGTCATCTAGGTGTCCAGGGCCTCCGCAGTCAGAAGTGCTACAGGGACCAGAGGACATGCTCGGAGAAGCCCCCTGCCCTCCAGTGGGCAGGGTCTGACCGACATGCTGACAGTGATGTGGTCTGGGTCATCACCCAACAGTGTCTGGAGAGGGGCAGTGCAGCAGGGGTCCTGTGGTTGCTGAGAGCTCCGACCACCCACCGCCTGGACCCAAACTGCCACCAGCTACAGAGGAAGACGCAGCCCTGCGGACGCCTGGGTCACAGCCCCATGAGACCCAGAGCAGATGGGGCGGGCGGGCGGTCTGTGGGCCTGGAGGGGAAGGGCCGGCGTCCAGGGCTGGATGGGCCAGACCCCAGGCCCTGACTCCCAGAGCTGTCGGTGTGACACTGGGCGTGACATTTGGCCCCAGGGGATGGGCGGGCACCCTGTTCTCAGGCCAGACTCAGGGGTTAATGTGCTCGTCCACAGGGTGACGCCCACTAGGGACAGAGGAGGGGGTGGCAGGCCTGTGGGTGTCCACCTAACTCATCCACCTCCAGTGAGGCAGCAGAGGAGGTGCTCGGGGACAGTCCCTGGGCCTTCCCGGGGTCCCGAAGAACTGGAAGATGAAGAAATCTAGACAAGACCTGGGTCTCTTTGCCAAATTTTCTGTTTAAAAAAATATTTTTAAAAAATATGTATAAAATACAAATATGTACAATATAAATGAATTAATATAATGTAAATTTACCATTGAGACCATTTTTCAGTGTGCCATTAGGGCCCTGAGCACAATCACAGTGTCCTGCGCTGTCACCACTATATCCAGAGTGCTCCTATCCTATAAAACTGTCCCCAGGGAAGCCTCAGCCCGGTCCCGCCCCGCCCCTCTACTTTCTGTCTGAACTTGACGACCCCAGGGACCTCACAGGAGTGGAGTCGGTAGTGTGTGTCTTTCTGTGGCTTCTGTCACTCAGCATCACGTCCTCAAGTTCCCTCCATGTTACAGATCCTCCCTTTTTAAGGCTAATAGTCGGCATTTTAAAAATAATGTCAGTTTTTATGACAAGTAACACAGGACGTAGGAAATTCCAAAGTACAAAGAACCAGTCGGAGAAAAGCAGGCCCCAGCTCTCTCCCCAAGGAGAGGTGCCAGGACACCGCCCGACAGTAATGGGGATGTCACATGTCCTCACAGGGGCTCTGCTGGTGCTGTCACAGCGTCGTCCCATGGAGGGGCTGTTGCCGGGCACATCCCGGCCCCCCTTCCCAGGGCTGCCGTGAGCATCGCGGGCCAGACGTCTTCCTGAGCGTGAGCATCTCGCCTAAATTCCTGGACAGGAACCGAGTCAAAGCGCGTGAGTCACGATTTCAATGCATAATTGCCAGACCCCCCTTTCCCCCCCCGCCCCGCCCCGCCCCGTGACCCAGGGGGCCCCCCCCCCCCGCCCCGTACCCCCTGGTGCCCCCTGGGTGTTCCTGGTGCTGCTCACACCCGGCTCGTCTTCTGCTTGTGGAGGACGCCTGCCCCCATCTCCGTTGCCAGGAGACACAGGCATGGGCTGAGGGACAACTGGATGCTGGTGCAGAGTCCCTTGTCCCCGCCGGAGCTCTCAGCCTTGGTCCCCTCTCAGGCCTGGAGGCTGGCTCTGTCCAGGACTCTGCACAGTCACTTCCTGGCTGATCCCTTCATCGTTGCATGTGTGGCTAGATGAGGACTCTGGTGACGCAGGAAGTGGCCGAGCGGACCCCTCCCCCTCTCCAGTTGACTTTGTCCTCCCGGACCCCAGCCGGCCCTGGCTGCCCCTCCTGCTGCCAGACCTGCACCCCACCACAGCGGCCAGCCCTGACCCCAGTGTGGGGCTCCCCCATGCAGGACAGGTGGAGGTGTCTGTGTGGCAGGGACACCGCTGAGTGCCGTCACCCACCCCGAGCCTGCTTTCCATGTGCACAGAGGGTGCCCATCGGGTACTGCATAGTGTCCCCACAGAGCGCCAGAAGCAGGGATATGGGGGCTGGAAGGGAGGGGAGGGGACCCTGGAAGGGTGACTCAGTCCCTCTCCGTCCCAGGCGGAGGGAGGGGCAGGAAGCAGCAGAGGGGCTCTGAGAACCAGGCCCAGGGCCGCCGAGGAGCCCTGACCAGGGCCCCCATGGCAGAGGTGGCCTCGTTGGGGTCCCTCGGTCACTTTCAGCAGACCTCACCCTCACAAGGGGGCTCCCCCTGCGGCTCCTCACCTTGCTCCTGCAGAGGATGAGGCAGTGACAAGCTGGGGCAGTCCCCAAGAGGACTTGGGGTGCTCTGGGGAGGGGGTTGCTCACCTGCTTTTGACCTCTGACCCAGCAGGGAGGCTGGGCTCTTGTCCTCCCACCACAGACAGGAAATAGGGGGTGGCCTCAGGAAGGACTGAGTGCCCTGATGGGGCAGGGACATGGCAGGCCAGACTGCCATCCAACAGGAGCTGTGGACGTGACTGGCCAGCAGGATGTAGCCACTCGGTCCGCAGATGCTTCCTGGGCTGGACAGCTTGGGTGGGGGCTGCGGCCGGGGTCCCCCTCTGTCTCGCTGGCACAGCACCCGTGAGTGCCCCAGCCTGGCCCTGAGGACTCCCACGCCTCCCACAGGCTCCCGGGAACAGCTGGGCCGTGGGCTCGAGGGCGGCCAGCTCCCCGCTCCGGAAGCAGTGGGGGTGGGTGCGAGGCAGGAAGCCAGGAGGCAGGCGGCAGTCGGAGCCGGAGCCGAGCCTGCGGGAGCATGCGGGGGCTGCTGCTGTGGCCCCTGGTGCTGGGGCTCGGCCTGGTGGGCGACAGCCAGACCCCCGGCATCTACGACGAGGGCTGGAGCACAGAAGGAGGCGACGGTGAGCCACCTGGCCCCCGGGGTGAGGAGTGGTCGTCCGCAGAGATGGAGCTGGGTCCCCAGGGCCGAGGGGGAGGTGGGGAGCGTGGGGGCACTATTGGCCCAAGGCCACCCTCTACGCTGGCCTTGGCCCCGCCAGGCTGGGCGCTGTTCAGAATTGTCCAGCTTTATCCTGCCCTCCCAGGGGATCCTGGGGGCTGGGGCTGCGACGTTCCGGCACCCACAGCCACAGGGGCCAGTGGGGGTCCGGGCTGAGGGACCCCTCGGGCACCCGCACCCCCTCCCTCCCTGGAGTGGGGGAGGTGGGAGCCCCGGCTGACGGCGCGGCCTCTCTCCCCCAGAGGGTACGCTGGGGCCCTTGCCCAGGCCCGGGGAGGCGGAGCCGGACCAGCCTCACCTGCGCAGCTTCCCGGGCCAGCCCTGCGCCAACGACAGCGACGCGCTGGAGCTCCCAGAGAGCTCCCGGGAGCTGCTGCTGGGCTGGGTGCCCACCAGGCTGGTGCCCGCGCTCTACGGGCTGGTCCTAATGGTGGGGCTGCCCGCCAACGGCCTGGCGCTCTGGGTGCTGGCCACGCGGGTGCCGCGGCTGCCCTCCACGGTGCTGCTCATGAACCTGGCCACTGCCGACCTGCTGCTGGCTCTGGTGCTGCCGCCGCACCTGGCCTACCGCCTGCAGGGCCAGCGCTGGCCCTTTGGTGAAGTCGCCTGCCGCCTGGCCACGGCTGCCCTCTACGGCCACATGTACGGCTCTGTGCTGCTGCTGGCCGCCATCAGCGTGGACCGCTACCTGGCCCTGGTGCACCCCTTGCGGGCCCGCAGCCTGCGCGGCCAGCGCCTGACCGCCGGGCTCTGCGCGGCCACCTGGCTCATGGCGGCTGCCCTGGCACTGCCCCTGACCCTGCAGCAGCAGACCTTCCGGCTGGCGGGCTCCGACCGGGTGCTCTGCCACGACGTGCTGCCCCTGGGCGCCCAGGCCTCCCACTGGCGGCCGGCCTTCACCTGCCTGGCCCTGCTGGGCTGCTTCCTGCCGCTGCTGGTCATGCTGCTGTGCTACGGGGCCACCTTGCGCACGCTGGCGGCCGGCGGCCAGCGCTACGGCCACGCGCTGCGGCTGACCGCCCTGGTGCTGGCCTCGGCCGTGGCTTTCTTCGTGCCCAGCAACGTGCTGCTCCTGCTGCACTACTCCAACCCCAGCCCGGACGCCTGGGGTGACCTCTACGCCGCCTACGTGCCCAGCCTGGCCCTCAGCACGCTCAACAGCTGCGTGGACCCCTTCATCTACTACTACGTGTCCCTGGAGTTCAGGGACAAGGTGCGGGAGGGGCTCTGCTGCCAGCCGCCGGGAGCCACCACGGCCTCCAAGGCCTCTGGGGAGGTGGGCAGCCCTGGGTCGGGCACCCGCTCCTCTTCACTCCCGTGACACCCTCAGGAGGGTGGCCAAGGGGGAAGGGGCCACCTTGGGAAGAGCAGGGTGTCCCCCTAAACCCACGTCCTTCCCAGAACCTCGGAGCATGACCTCACTTGGAAATAAAGTCAGTGTAACTGTCCTTAGTTATGATGAGGCCACGTTGGAGGGAAGCTGGGCCCTCCGCCAGTGGCTGGTGTCCTTCCATAAAGGGGAGAGGACACAGAGACCCAGGGAGAAGCCCTGTGACAAAGGAGGCAGGCTGGAGTGACATGGCCGTCGAAGCAGGAGAGGGCCTGGGGCAGGCCGCCCACACACCTCCGGAAGGGCCAGCCTCGCGGACACCCTGCGCTTGGGTTCCGGCCTCCAGAACGGAGACAGTGAATCTGTTGTTTTTAAGCCACTTGGTGCCTTTCTACAGCGGCCCGGGGACACAGGGTGAGGCTAAGTGCAGACTCCCGGCCCAGCCACCTTCCAGGCTCAGCTCTGTGGCGTGACACTGCCGTCACCAGGTGAGGTGGTCACCTGTGAGGTGGGGACGAGGATACTCCCTGAACCATCAGAGTGGGGTGCACCCTTGCTCCCCAAGTCCACCACCAGCAAGGTCAGCCTCCCGCCGTCACCGAGGCTCCCGAAGACCTCCCGCCCAGTGGACTGACTTCCCAATCCCCTGATGCTGACCTCAGCAGGACAGAGCGGGATGAGGGCAGGGTGGACATGTGCTTGGCGGCCGGGGCCAGGGCTGCCAGCCACAGCCTGCTCTGAGCTGTCGGGAGGACCAGGGGCCACACGGGTGCCTGTCAGGGACAGGCCCCGGACACACACACCTCCGCTCCCCCCCACGCTACGAGGCAGCCGGACAGGGCAGGGGCTGCAGAGGGAGCCCCACCTGAGCAGGCCAGTCCACCGCTGGGCGCCCCACTGGGTCTGCCTGACCAGCCCGGCTTTGGGCCGCTGGCCTCAGGTGCACACCTAAGGCCATGCCCTGAAGTGCTCCAGGACGTCCCCACCAGGGAGCTGGGGTCACCCTCACAGCTTTATCATTTCTTCCAACCGCACGTCCATCTGTGAGGATCCTAGGGCACGCATTAGACCCTAAGACCTTCCCCCACACACCCACTCTGGAAGGCCAGGCCCAGGGTCCCTGGCCATCACCTGGCCACTGTGCTCTGAGTGACCAGCTGCCGGGCCCTGGGTGTGAAGAGCTTCACCCGCTGTGCGTCCCCCAGGCTCCCACTCCCTGCAGGAGGCTGAAGACGGCCCGTGAGTCTGGAAATCAGCTTTTATTTTTATCAACAGGCCCTACGGGGGGGGGACAGGGCTCGGCCTGGGGATGAAGTCTGCTGGCCTGTCCCTCGTGGGCTGGCAGGAGCAGCCGGCACTGAGAGGTGAGGACCCCCAGGCTGGAGCCTCTCAGCCAGGGAGGGGTCTGTGCTACCCCCTTAAATCAGAGAAATGCTGGCTGAAATAAATACAGTCTTGAAAAGGCCCAGGGGGACAGAAACGGGCACCCCAAGGCCACCAGGAGCAACAAGATGGGACGGACAAGGGCTGGGGCAGTGGAGGGTCCCAGAAGGCAGGCAGCTCTGAGCACGCAAGCCTCCACCCTGGGGCTGGGGTCCCCCAGAGCTGCTGGGCGAGGAACCGTCCCCTAAATGCCAGGGGCTGGGGACATGGGCTGTGGAGGCCCCAGGTCCCCCAGCCCCAGGAGCAGAGCAAAGTGCCTTTGCCAGGAGCCGTGGTCTTCCCACAGGGCCCTCTGCCGTCCAGGCTGCACTTGGAAGACGTCCTGGGCCAGAGCAGAGGGTGCAGGGAAGCCATCGTCCTGGCACAACCCGAGTCCCTGGTCTAGAGGCTCAGCAGCCTGAGAGCCCCAGAGAGAGCCCAGGGCTCTGTGTTCTGGAGACAGGTGTCTTGTTTAGTTTCAAAGTCACAGACGAGGGACAGTGACGCTGTCTCCCTTCTCTGGTCAGCTGCGTCTTCTCAGAAGAAGCCTCGGGGACCACAACACCTCCCTGGATGTTCCTTCTCCCAGGAGCAGAATGTCAGGCTGTGGCCCCAACCCAGAGCTGGGAGTGGGCACCTGGATGTGCACCTGCAGCTGTGGAGGCCGGGTGCTCGGGGACCCCAGCCACTCCAGCCGTCCCCTACCATGCTCAGGACTCCCCATCCTAGGGCGGGCAGGTTCCGTCATTCTGTCCACCAGACTGGAGGCAGGGTCACAGGGGGCTGGGGCGGACCCCTGCCAGGCAGAGTCACGGGCTGACAGGGACCAGGCAGGCAGATGGCGCCATCCTGCTTCGAGTGTGGTGGCCGTTAGGAAGAGAAACCGCTCTGGCTGTCCAGGAGAGAAGGAGACACTCCCTAGGGGCTGCCAGGCTCCTGGGGCCCAGCCCTGTCCCCTTCCCACACCTGCCCCCAGGAGGCTCCCACCTGTCGCTTCCTCAATTTTTTTTTTTTTTTTTTGAGATGGGGTCTCACTCTGTTGGCCAAAGCAGCCTCCAGCTCCTGGGCTCAAGCCATCCTCCTGCCTCAGCCTCCCCAGCAGCTGAGCCTACAGGCGTGTGTTACCATGCGCAGCTCGAGCTATGAACCCCCTCCCTCAAAAACAAACCAAAAAACCCCACCTCTCCTAAGGTCCTAGAGGGAACCGGAAAGTAGCCACTTAGGGAAAGTTTAAAACTGTGCATTAGTATAAAGGATGGTCAGGAAGCACAAATGGACATATAATGGATGTCAGTGACTTCAGACTTTCTGTTTTAGGTGAAGTGAACCCAGTAGTAATGCTAAGTAGACGGAGAAAAGCTCGAGGGCGTGCATTACGATTCCCAGAGCTCCCCGGCCCCACCCCTCGTGTGTGCTGCCAGTGATCAAACCCAGGGTCTCGGGCACACTAGGGAGGGGTCTCGGGCACACTAGGCAGGTGCTCGGCCACGGAGGGACACCTCTGGCCCTACAAAAAAAATCCTAATGCTAAAATCAAAAGCTCAGTTAAAATGAAAATTCAAAAAGATATATCTGATTAATTGAACAGAGGACACAGAAGGGGAGTTTAACAAATACTTATGGGCCTCTCAATAATTATATTAAACCCATTATGTCCCAGTGTCCCTTGTATAGAACCCCCCCCCCCAAAAAAAAAAAATATATATATATATAAGAAAACTTAAAAGGAACAACAAGTCTCCTTATGCGTGCTAGGCAAGTGCTCTACCACTGAACTGCAGCCTCTGAACTGGAAACCTAAGCCTCTTCTGGGTGGAGTTTTCTGTCACCCGCACCCAGAGGTTCCTGCTGCCGGAAGCCAGCCCAGCTGAGCCTGCAGCCCTGGAGCCTCGTGGCCACCCCCAGCCCTTCTGCCCCCACCTCACTTGGAACATGGGGCTGGCGTCTGATGTATGTTGAGCAGGTGGAATTTAGAGGAGATGGATCCCCTCCACTATCCCCAGAAACTTGTGGGGTGACCCTGTAATTGAGGTCCCTCTACTGCCTGCAGGGGCGGTGGAGGTGGGCCCAGTGCTCACCTGCCCTCTGCCTCCCCCTCAGGCTCGGGGGTCCAGCGCAGGGCTTCTTCGAGGCCAGCTGCGCTCAGCCTGTTGCCCTGCTGTGCGTGTCCAGGCCCCAGGAGGGCTGGGTCGTCATCGTAGGAGTGGGACGCAGAGGCTGGTGGCTGCTGCTCTGGAAGGGAGGGGGGGCCTGGTCCAGGAGGTGCTGCAGGAAGGGATGGGGATTGCTGGCGGTCCAGAGGGACACAGGGAGAGGGAGAGGAGGAGGTACATGCGGAGCCCAGAGTGACAGAGGGGGAGGAGAAGGTCCCAGACCAGGGAAGAGGGGACACCCAGGGGCAGACATGGGGAAGGAGTGCAGAAAGACTCCAAGGTGAGATGAAGGTGGGAGAGACTTAGCAAAACAGAGAGCAGGTGCAAACAGAGATGGCATGGCAGCCAGCCAGCCAAGGGACAAGGACATCCACCTGGAATCAAAAGACTGAAAGATGGAGATGGGGGGAGGAGAGGTGGGAGAGGCAGAGGGAGCCTGAGCCCGGGGAACCTGGGAGAGGCTGACTGGTCACCAAGGCGGAGTGAGGCCGGGGGAGACCCAGAAAGGGCTGCACAAAAACGGGTAAGTAGGAGGAGGGGGGTGTGGGGAGACAGGAGGGCGGAAGCTAACCAGGAGCACAGAGGGTGGGCGAGCAGCAGGCAAGGACAGGGCAGGGGCGGCACAGGCAGGCGGAGAGGGGAGACGGGAGCAGGAAGATGAAGGGGCCAGGGCTGGAGAAAACGGGGAAGGTGGTAAGAAAGAAGAGGTCGATGCCCACAGCTTGGGGCACAAGATGGGGCCCCCAATTCCAGGCTGCAGTGGAGTCCTCACCGAGGGCGCAGAGACCCGGGGGCGCGGGTTCCAGGTGCGCGCGCCGGCGGCAGGCGGCCTCCTGCAGGTGGCAGGCGCTAGTGTAGACAACGCCATCCGAGCCGCACACGGGGTCCGCGTGGGCGCCACAGTCGCGAGCGCAGCCGCAGCGTGCCATCGCCGCCCCCTCCTCAGGGGCCACCGCGGGGCCCAGCTCGCCCGGGGACCAGCCTGGGGGACGAGGTAGGGTCTGCTAGGCACGGTGGACCCAACCCAGACCTTGTCCGCACTGACTTCCAGGCCTGGGGCCAGGACCACTCCTCCCCCAGGGTGGAAGGGAGCCGACGGTGGGAGACCCGAGTCCTGACACGGTGGGGTTTGAGGCAGGTATTTGCCTGGTACTTAAACATTTTAAAAATGCTTAAGTTAAAAACGGTCCAAACCCATCCCAAGCTGTTTGGAAATTTTTAAATAACTGTCCTAAGAGACTCTCAGTCCGACTCAGACTTTTGCTGCTGCCTCCCTACGCCACGCACGAAAACCTACAGGCTGTGGGTGAGAAAGGTGACAAAGGCACTCGGTGGGCGTCGGCCACTCGGTTCTGCCCCCCCCCCCCCACACACACACTCGCACCATGCTCTTTCATGCCCCGCCCCTCCCTATCGCTCTCACCCCTCCAAGCCACGCCCCTCCACAAGGCAGCCCCGCCCAGCTCAGCCCCGTCTGCTCCGCTGCGCGGGCTCCATGGCTCTAATGTGCTGTCCCCTGCTACATCTGGAGACCCCTTCTTTCTCTGATCTCAGGAAGACGCCCTTCCTGGAGCCCGCGGGGGTGGGGCGGCGTGGTAGGAGGTCAGTGGTGGGGCGACAGTGGCCTCGCGGACTCACCGCGACTCTGGGCTGGGGCGCGCTCCACCTCGTTGCACGCGGGGCCCGCGCACAGCTCCCGGGCAAGTGGGCTGCGCGCGCTGACGTTGTAGAAGCGCGTGGCCTGGAAGGCTGCGGGGCGGAGGACGGCGGGTTAAGAGAGGCCGGGAGAAGGGCCAGGCTGGGGGTGCGGGCAGCGCTGGCCTACCAGGCTCGTAGTAGTCGTACACCGAGATGGGCAGCGCCGAGGTCCTGCCCACGACGTACTCACGGAGCGCCTGGAACTTCACGCACGTCAGGCACTGGCTGGGGATCTGCGGGGACAGTAGGCAGGCTCAGGCCCTGCTGGACCACCGGCCCAGGGGGCTGCTCTGTGATGCCTCAAGCGTGGGTCCTTCCTGGGGAAAAGTCTCGGATGAAGCTGCCTTCAGACCCCTCCCTCTCTTGTGTGCGCGTGCACGGGTGTGTGTGGCACTGAGTGCGTTCGCCATGCTGCACGCTCACCTCTTCTCGGGAACACTTCTGTCCCCCAGAGGGAACCCTCTCTATCAGCCGTCACTACCTGTTCCCCTCCCCCAGCCCCTGGCAGCCACTAATCAGGATCTCTGTGGTTCTCTTGTTCTGGACATTTCATGTCAACAGACTCCTCCGTGAGTGGCCTTGGTGTCTGGTTTCTTTCCCACAGCATGGGTCAGTGCTTCACTCCTTTTTATCAAAGAACAATATTCTACTGCTCCCCTCCCCGATTTTCCACCAGGACCTATCCATCCACCCGGCACCAGCCTTCAGCACCACCAGCTCTGCCTGCAGCTTCGCCCACTGTGGCTTCCGGACCGTCAGAGAGCTGCGGGCAGCCACAGCAGCCTCCACCCTCAGCAGCGAGCATGGCTCCCCAGCTGTCCGTACCTCGTCAAAGTAGAAGAGGACCCTGCGTCCGGCCACCTCGTACCTCTTCATCCCGATGTGTCTGTCAAGGAGCAGCTGTCCAGCAAGAGGGAAGTCAGGTCCATCCTGGAGGACCCTCTGCCCCTCACTGGTCACTTCTTCTCCTGGCCATCCAGCAAGCCCTCATGGGCCAGGGCCTAGGTGGGCCAAGTGCTTGCTTCTTGCTCCTCTTCCCCAAGCCCCAGCCTGAGCTCAGCTGTGGCCTCAGGCAAGACAGCCCTCTCCCCACCCCTTTCTTCCCCTACAAAACACCAAGGTGACACTGTGACACTGGTCTATCCGGAGGATGGCGGCCACCCGCCCTCCGCTCCCCCCAGAGCCCATGCACCCTTGCTACAGTCCTCCATGGCATCCAGAATAGTAAAGGTGGTCCCAGGGGGTCTGCCTCCAGGAAGAGTCCCTTCCCTGCTCCACCCGTCCCTCAGGAGGCCGATGACCCATCTTTGCCCAGACAAGCAAAATAAACTAAAACAGAAGTCAAAACGACCCACAAAACTGTACAAACGGCTTGAGCTACCAGCCAAGGCGGCCTGAGGTGCTCCAGCCCTGCCCCCTCCCTGCTCAGAGGCCCCCGCCGGGCCCTGGCCACCCCTGCCAGCAGCACTACCTCACCTGCTCCAGGCTCTCAATGTCAGCCCGAAAGCCGGACAGCAGGGGCACCTCAAGGACGGCCATGTTGGAAGACCCTGTGTGCAGCCACCTTCCAAGAGAGGGGAGAGGGGGCTGGGGACCTGAGGAGGAATTCATGGTCCCCCTTGTTCCCTGGAGCCCATGTCCTGTTGAGGTCTGCCTTGGGCCCGGCCAGAGTAAGGCCGGTCAGCTTTGTTAGCCCATTTTATAGTCAGGACGCCACGGCCACAAGGAAAGGGCCTCTCCCAAGTCTCTCCATGGGGGACCATGGCCTGTCCCACACTCCACCCTGGGAAGCAGCTGGGGGCCCAACTTGGGGTGTGTCCCATGGGGCAGCAAGAGCCCAGATGGCTGACCACGCCTGCTCGGCCGGGGACCCCAGGCCCGTCACTCCCCAGCTCTCTCCTTCCGTGGCTTGGGCTCCCTGGGGGCTTGTCACCTGCCAGGTGCTGGGGCCAAGGAAGGGGAGGCCGAGGTTCAGAACAGAAGGCAGGCTGTGAGCCACGGGCACACAGCCCCTGGGGTGCGGGGAGGCCAGCCCTATACCTGGGTGGCCCACAGTGGCACCTTCCTAACACGTCTCAGGGAGCAACCAAGGCGTCCCCAGCAGGGCTGGGGGCCAGGCTGTTGGGTCTGGTCCAGCTTCACCCCCTGCCCTGCCTGCATCCCGAGTCTCACAGTGGAACAGAAAATGTAGCTGGACCCACTGCCTGGGCGCTTGAGCCACCTGGTCCTATTCACCAGACAGAACCTCCTACGGCAGGGACTTTGACACGTGAGGGTTAAGGTGGGGCAGGGTTGGGCAGCGCCCATGGCTCACAGGTACCATGGCAACCACTCATCATCCACCCACCTCTGGGCTCCCAGACCTTCAGGGTGGCCACCTTCATCTCTGAGGGTGAGGGTCCACCGTGGCTGGGTCCCAGGCTCCCCGTCAGAAACCAAGGGCCCTGGAGCTGGTGTGTCAGGCGGGGACCAGTGTGCCACCTCGTACGGCTGTCCCCACCCAGCCCTCCTGCTCTGGTCATCCCTGGGGGCTGTCGTGTCCAGTCAGAACACCTCCTTTACTTACTTTCTTGTCGAAAACCGTCCCTGAGCACTGGCCTGGTGGGAGCCGGGAGCCAGAAGGCCCCTGGGGACAGGCAGCCCTCGGCCCGCGGGGCAGCTTGGGCCGGGCAAGCGGCCTTACCTGGCACACACCTCCAGCGTCACCTTGTACTCCTGGTGGTGCTGGTCAGCCGCGGGGTCGTCATCGTCAGCCAGGTGCTGCTCCCCACCCCGCGGGCCCCCAGCCGAGGAGGCGGGCACAGGGGACGGGCGCCCCTCAGCCTCGGGCTCCTCCAGGCGCACCAGCAACTGGAAGGCAGGCTTGGTCACGGGGTCGGGCACGTGGTAGGTGACATCGATCTAGGGGTGTTAAGGACAAGCTTAGGGACCCATCCCTGCCTAACAGGCGTGGCCTGGGGGAGGAGAGAATGGGGTGCTGGGGGAGGTAGGAATGTCCCAAATTAGGACGATGACCCTGCGACAGTTCCAAGCGCGACCCTTTTCCCTCTCAGCCTGGGAACCGCTGACGTGGGTGCAGGCTCAGCTGTCGGCCCAGCTGCCTCTTTTGGGTGCAGAGCCGGGCTCACCACACATTGGGGTTCTCCTCCTGTCCACTGGGGAGTCTGCGCTCCCACGGGGGGGGCGGGTTGGGAAGGCCGAGGCCAGCGAGGAAGACGGCTTGCTCTCCAACCACCAGCCAGAACTCGGGGCTCCCCGCCCCAGCCCAGCTTGGGGCCAAATCCCAGGAAGTGCTGGGTGGTGGGCTGAGGGTCGAGGACCAGGCGGACTCCCTGAGCGTCCCTGTTGAGGCCACTCAGGAGGAATAGCCTGTGCCCTGGGCAAGGCCTCCCGTGGGTGGCCGGGCTCTGCTTGTGGTCAGATTGACTGGGTCAAATGGGTTTTCCTGAGGGATCGCTAAAGACGCTCCTTCTGAGGGGACCCGTGGCCACTTCTCTTGGTCAGGTGGCCCGCCCAAGCCTCACCTGCAGGAGGCAGCAGCCGTCTCCCCTGGCGCTCACGAACAGCCCGGTCGGGAGGCTGGGGATCTGGAGAGAGAAGAGCCCGTCAGGCCGCCGCCTCCCCTGCCAAGACACACAAACCCGGCTCCAGGAGCACGCACCGCCGCCATCTGCAGAACCTTCCGGTTGGCCCTGTGCAGCGTGAAGGTCTCCTGGTAGTCCAGGTTGGTGGAGGCCAGGGAGACCGTGAGGTTGACACCGCCAGCATAGGACAAGATGGCGTACTCTGCCAGGGCCTGCAGGGCCACGCAGGTGTCCTGGGAAGAGATGGCTGTTAGCCCCGGGAGCCAGCGAGCCGGCCACACCTTCCAGGGAGGCCTAGCCAAGGACGGGGCACCCACGGGGATGGGATGACCCAACCAGGTGACAGACCCACGGACCTGGGGACCCCAGGAGAGTTGGGTAGGTGTCCCCATGGAGGCAGGGGCTGGACTCCCAGAGGGTCCAGGAACACCTGGCCCTGGCCCCTACCCACTGTTAGGTTCTGTGACCCCCGAGGCTGCAGCCCTGCAGTGACCCTGCCCAGACCCAGTCCCCCCTCTGGCCCTGCCCGGCTCACCTGAGTGGAAGAGAAGCCCCCAAGGGCATTCCGCTGCTGGGACAGCCACTTCACCGCGGGCAGGGCGGCGGCCACGTCACCCAGGAGGGTGTAGGTCAGCAGGGCGTAGGCGGTCATTTCCACCTCTGCTGAGACCACTGCAAGGGGAGAGGCCAGCTGGGCTCTTTCAGCACTGGCACCCAGGTCTCAGTGCTCCAGAGGCAGCCGCCGCGGGAGGCACAGGGGGCTGGGACGGCCAGTACCTGACCGAGAGACCCCATCCCCGAAGCTCAGGAATGCGTCCTTGTCCACGCCCCGGGAACCTGTCAGGCTCCAGTGGGTGACTCCATCTGCAAGGACAAAGCTAGTCTGGAGCCACAACCCGCCCAGCACGCAGCCTGACATCCCCTGGGGAGCATCTGTGTGCCTGGGATCAAGAAGAGATACTGGGGGACTACACCTCAGGGGGAGGAAGGTGCCGAGGGACAACCAGCCGGAACAGGAAGGGTCTCACGGTTCCATCTCATATTTTCAAACACAAAGCAGCCCAGGCTTTCTTGTGCCCTGGCAGACATCACTAATCAATGCCTGCCTCCCCCTGGCCCTGGCAGACATCACCCATCAATGGCCGCCTCCAGGCTGGGTACTGCTGCAGCCCCAGATGTTTCCACTTGGGGTCCAGGCAACCAAGGTGTCAAGGCCCTCAAACCTGGAGACAAACCAGCCCTCCCCCCAACTTCCCACCCTCACCCCTGATCCTAAGCATTTGGTCTTAAATAGACGACGCCATCTTGACTTTAGAATTCTACATTTTAGCCTCTTTCCCCACAAGCATGGAAGCAATTCCTGGGCTGATGAAGGGGGGCAGCGGCTGCGGCTGAGGGGGGATAATTGAGCGGGGTGGGGGAGGGGACTTGGTGGGGGGCGTCTGGACAAGTGGGGGCTTGGTGACCGGGGCTCTCTGAACACAAAGGTGATCATTTTGCATCTGGAGGGACTAACACCCCAAAGATGGAAATGCTTCCTTCCCGGGGCTCACCCACCAGTGGAGGGGAGAATGGGGGTCTACCTCCGCCTGCCCAGCATCAGAAGTTTGGGGGATCTCCTGTCGAAGACCCCGCCACACTGCCCTCCCTGGGGGTCAGCATCCCCCATTTCACAGGCATGGAAAGCGCTCAGGCAGGCCCAACCTTGGACAAAACACTGCATCTAACCGAGTGGCCGGCTGGCGCGCTCCTGGGTGGACCATTCTACACGCAAAGCCATCAAGAGTGAGCTAAGACACCTCCTGAGTTGCACACGAGCGTCCAAGAGCTCAGAGTGGGCTGTCCCACACGGTGGCCTCCGGGGCCGGTGGCCAGGGAACACCTACCCTGTGTGATGGCGAGGCTGCGGAGCTTGCGCAGGGCCTCAGGGGCTGCGGGGCTGTGGAGCAGGGTCAGCGCGTAGGCGGTCAGAGCATGGCTGTAGGGATCTGTGGCCAGGGGCCCCCTGGACTCCAGGAAGTGTCTTGCTTTGGCAACGGCGGCCCTCTCCTCCTGCAGAGTGGGGTGACACCGGGAGCTCGGGCTGCAGCCCCTGCTGTCAGACCCCACCGCCTTTCTTCTCTGTCTTTGCCCCTTTTTCCAAATGGAGTCTGGGCGGGATGCTCAGGGATACGCCAGGTCAGTGCAGAGACCCTCCTGGGAGCAGGCAGGGCCAACCCTGTCCACGCCCACGCATGGCCAGGGCTTCAGGAAGACATCTGGCCTTAAGACCCCCAGCCCAGGCCCTCTGCACCCTCCAGGCCTCGAATCAAGAGGTGCCTCTGCAGAGAAACCCGCCGACCTCCTCCTGTGCCCTAGAACATGACCTGTGGGAAGACACGGGCACAGCCATCACCAAGGACAGGCTTGTTCAGAGGAGCTTCCCAGTAAGATGGACTCACGGGAAGAGTGAGTGGTTAAAGCAGGAACCAATTCAGCCAACGAGCAGAGACGCTCTGCTGGCCACCGGTAGAAGCCGTGGAGTTAAGATAACGCAGCGTTAGTTAACTGCTGTGGTCACAGAGAGAACGTGTCCCCAAACCTTTGATCCTTAGACCAGGACAAAGCATGGGAATCGCCTCTAGGTGTGGGGTGAGATTTAGCTTCCCAGAGAGGATCTGGGGAGGAGCAAGGCAGACTAGCCAGAGCCCAGGTGTGACCCATGAGTCCAGAGATGCTGACATGGGAGCTACCCCAGGCCACGTGGGCAAGGATGCTATGAAAACCGAGCCGGGAAGGACCCACCCTGCCCCATCTGTTGCTTTAGCTGAGAAACTCTATTATTTACAAAAAGTGTTCACAACCAGGCTCAGAGGGACCCAGGTCTTTTTTTTTTTTTTGGGGGGGGGCAAGCTCATCTGATTCCAGTGCAGGTGCTGTGGGTTGGATGGTGCCCCTACCCCCAAGAGATATGTCCCCTGGAACCTGTAAATGTAACCTAACTTGGGTAGCCTCTATTTTGGGGGGGCAATGCTGGGGATTGAACCCAGGACCTCACACAGGCTAGGCAAGTGCTCTACTACTACTGAGCCACCTCTCGGCCCAGTGTGATCTTATTTGGAAAAGTCTTTGCAAATATCATTAAGAATCTTGAGATGAGATCATCCTGGACTAAAGTGACCCTAAATCCAAAGATAAATATCCTTAGAAGAGGAGAAGACAGATTTAACCTCAGCATACTATAGTGACATGGCCACATAATGTGGGTCAATACACAATAGCTAAGCTATGGAACCAGCCTAGGTACCCTTCAGCAGATGAATGGATGAAGAAAATGTAAGACACACACACACACAGGGAATATTATTCAGTCATAAAAAAGAATGAAACTGTGGCATTTGCTGGCAAATGGATGGAACTGGAGACTCTGGCGCTAAATGAAATAAGCCAATCCGGAAAAAAAAAAAAAAACCAAAGGCTGAATGTTCTCCCCGATGTGCGATTCTAACACACAAAAGAGGGAGTGGAGGGAAGAACAGAAGTTCATTGGATTAGACAAAGGGGAATGAGGAGGGAGGGGGAGGGGAGTAGGAAAGACAGTGGAATGAATCAGACAAACTTCCCTGTGTTCATATGTGAACACACGGCCAGTGAAACGGCATGGATACAACCACAGGAATAGGAAGTCAGGCTCCAGGTGTGTATAATATGTCAAAATACACTCTACCGTCACGTGTAGCTAAAAAGAAGAACACCTAAAACATGAAATGAAGTCATTAAGATTTAAAAAAAAGAAGAAGAAGAAGGGGAGAAGACACGGAGCAGGCAACCATGGTGGCACACGCTGGGATGACGTGGCCACAGCTAAGGATGTGCAGAGTCACCACAGGCTGGGAGGAGCAAAGAAGGCCACTCCTGAGCGCCCTCAGGGACCTTCTGGTCCCGGCACTGAGACAGCAGGTCCTGCCTCCGCCACCTCAGGGACTCAGGGCCCCGACCCAGGGGGGAATTCGCCCTTTCCCTAGGGAAACCCCCAGATCAGGGAAGATGGGGTTGGGAGGACCTGGAGAAGGCAGAGGAAGATTTTTCTGAGAAATGGGGTGTCCTGGGGGTGGGAGGAGGTGGAGGGCACAGAGACAAATCTGAGGGCGCCCCCCCCCAGCAGAGCCACCGTCTGTGATGGTCCACGTCCGCAGACCACCTGAATGTCAGCCGGGAAGCACGTGACCCAGGGCAAGGCCTGGTGGTGACCCGGCCCTGGGGAACATCAGCCTCCCTCTCCGCAAGCTCCTCGTGTCTGGGGCTGGGCTGCGGCTCGGTGGTGGTGCGCTCACCTAGCAGGCGTGAGGACTGGGAATGTCCAGAGTCACCACAGGCTAGGGGACTGTCTCATCACTCCTTTGGTGAGAAACAATCTTCTCTCACATTTCACATGGCTGCTCCATCTCATCATTTAGGTCTCCACAAATATTCCATTCCACAAATATTTATGGGACACATACTCTGTCCAAGGCAATGCACCGCCTACTGAGTATATTTAGTAATAAGAGACAAAAACCCCAGCCCTCTGAAGGCCTATATTTTATCAGAAGGGGAAATACCACATCTTCAGAGAGCTCTTCCCTGACTGTTAAGGGGTCATTAAGGTAGGCCCCCATGATGGGATTAGTGTCCTTATAAGTAGAGTCACCAGAATTCTCAGTCTGTGTGCATACACTAGGGAAAGGTCAGGTGAGCAAGGCTAACTCTTAGTTACTCTCACAATATTTCTTTTACAGACTCTGGAAATGAACCCAGAGTCTCAACCAAACTAGGCAAGTGCTTGATCACTGAGCTACACCCTCAGTCCAAAAGATCCTTTTTTATTTTCATCCTATTAGTACCTATAAGTTTCCTATGGAAAAGGGCTCCCTGGATGCCCAGCATAGAAAGTGAAAAAAAAAAAAATCCTCACCTCACAGTATGTGTCATAAAGCACAAAGTGCTGTGGACAACGAGAAGATCTGATAACTTTCAGGGGAAAGAAAAATCCATATTCAAAGGAAAAGTACTCAGAAAGACAAGCGACTTCTCCACAGAACACTGGAAACTAGAAGAGGATGGAATGGAATCCTGTATCTTACAGGAAAGTGAGGGCCAAGAGAGAATTCTATACCCAGCCCAACTATCACTCAAGTGTTGAAGCAGGTTGAGAATATTTTCAGACATGCAAGACCTCAAAAGTTTACCTCCCAGTACTTTTTCTCAGTACAGCAGGCTCTCCATATTTGCAGGTTCTGCATCCATGGATCCAGCCAAACAGGAATTTTAAAAAAAATGGGAAAAAGATCCAAAAAGCAAAACTTGAGTTTGCCACAGGTCTTGAAATATTCTGAATCTATGCAAAAGAATGATATATGTGCATTGCGTGAAGTATTATAGGTCACAAGGAGATGATTTAAAGTATAAACGAGGATGCGCATAGGTTCTCCGCCAGTGCTATGCCACTTGATAGAAGGGACATGGATTTTACATCCCTGGATTTTGGTGTCTGTGGAGGGTCCTGGAAACAATCCCCTTTGGACACTGAGGGACAAGAGGAAATCAATGATGGAAGGAGGCTGTGAAATGAAACAGAGGAAGGGGTCCAGCAGTCAGGGCAATTATGGTGCTTCAGCCAGCATGTGGCTCACTCTACCTGGAGTGACGGTCAAAGGCACAGGAAGGGACATCAGGAGAACACACTTAAGAGACGACTTGATGATTGTTAAACTTCCATGGAGATTTTTAGGGATGACATAGGAACGTTATGGATTAAATATTTGTGTCCCCCAGAATTCACATATTGAAGCTCTAACCCCCAATATGATGATAGCTGGAGGAGGGGTTTAGAAGAGGTCATTAAGCTGGAGCCCCATGATGGGATTAGTGTCCTTATAAGAAGAGTCACCAGAATTCTCAGTCTGTGTGCATACACTAAGGAAAGGTCAGGTGAGCACACAGTGAAAGGCAGACACCCCAGGAAGAGAACCCTCACCAAGAACAGAATCTGCCTGCACCTTGGTCTTGGACTTCCCAGCCTTTAGAACTGTCAGCAATAAATGTCTGTTGTTCAATCCACTCAGCCAGGCATGGACTGAAACCACCAAAACCATTAGCCAAAATAAACCTTTTCTCTTTATAAGTTAATTGCCTCAGGTGTTTCATTATAGTGATGAAAAACTAATATACTTCCCAACAATTCTCACCCCCATGGTTACCACAGGTATCTCTTTTCTGCTCAGACTGAGAAGTTGGATGTTCTCAGTGGATGAAAAGTTTGAAAGAGCCTCATTCATAAGAGAAATGAGGAAAAATAAACCCTGCCATGAGGGGGGACCTCCCACTTGTTCCTCCAGCCCCACCCCTGGCCCCCAGTCTCCCAGGACTCCACTTGGGCTCACCTCGGACACTGTGCCAGTCTCCAGGAGAGCAGCCACCACGTAGGCCGTCAGCGGGACTGCACCGTGGATCCCACCCTGCAAGAGGACTCCCAGGCCTCACCCCTGTCCCAAAGGGGACAGCCCATCTCCTGCCAGGGTCCTGCCCCCGCCTTAGCCCCTGCTCCCACTGTAACCCTGCCCATCACCCAGCACCGGCCCGCCCTGCCCAGCCTCAGCCTTGCTAGGGCCCGGCCCCTCCCCCATCCCCAGCACCCCTGCCCAGACCCGGCCTCTGCCCAGACGCCCCTCTACCTAGACCCCGCCTCTGTCCAGACCCCGCCTCTGCCCAGAACCGGCCCCAGAAAGGCCCCGCCCTGCCCAGGCCCCGCCCCTGCCTAGGCCCCGCCCTGTCTACGCCCTGCCCCTTGACCAGACCCCGCCCCTGCCCAGCACAGGCCACACCCACACACACCGCCCAGCCCCGCCTCCAGCCTTAGTCCAGCGCTTCCTTTAGCCCTGCTTCCAGGAGCAGGAGCGGTGGACAGGCCGCGAGGCCACTCACCTGGATGTCCTTGTTCAGGATCCTGCCCACCACGGGGAAGGCGCCGTCAGCTCCCTGCTGCTGGATGATCCAGCCCTTGGCAGCGGCCAGCTCCTGGGGGTCGATGAATATGAAGCTCCGCGCCTGCGCGAAGGACTTCAGGACAAAGGCTGTGAGCCTGAAAGAGGATGCGGTGGGGCTGGGGGTGTCACCGAGCAGGGTCACCTCCTGGGGGCCTCTGGGGATCAGCCAGACGTACACAGGTTTCTCGGGTGGGGAGCAGGCGGCCAAGCTGGGCCCCTGCAGGAAAGGGCTCAGCGGCGTGTCGCCCCCTCGCCCCCAGCATTGCTGAGGGCAGCGGGCGCTCTGTCTGTCGGTGAGGGACGCGGTTTCTATGGCCACCATAGAGGAGTCCGGGTGGGGGCGTAGGGTTGGCAGGGGAGACCCAGGCTGGGTGGGCCCCACGGTGATGCCCAGGACTGCCAACGCCGGAGCACCCCAGGGCACGTGGCCAGCTGGCCCAGCCCCCAGTGGGTCCTTCTGTGCTGGTGGCACCCCAGGCCAGGGACCCTGCTCACCAGCCACCTCCCCGCATCCCCAGCCCTAG